GTGGCTCATCTGCGGGGTGCGCATTCCGTCGTAATACATCCCTATGCTCCTCCATATATCCATCTCCACAGATAATCTCATTGGTGTGGATGACGATGCGGTGGTGGTGGTTGTCATAGTTGGAACTCATTTGGCGGAAACATGGGGGGAAAGGAACTCCGACTCGATGGATTTTGATTGCTGGGAGGACATGGTTTGAGTTCGAGTAGCGCTGGAGGGTGCGGTTGGATGAAGGTAGGGTTCTGGAGGATATAGTTTGTAGTTAGCGGTAGGGTTCCCATTCCACATCAATGAAATCATTCACCAGTATTAGACTGAGTGCGAGTCAGCCGCACATCTCTCCCGTTGGCTTCAACTCCACTCAGGCAATGACCCGATGGCCGATGTCTGGTAAGATGGAACTGTTTGAGTATGAGCGAGCGGCCATGGTGGCATGGATGTGCATGTGGAATGTGAGCGATGAGCTGGCTCGAAATTGAACGGACCACTTACTGATCACCCGGCGGTCAAATGCCTCTCTGGTAAGACGGAACTGTTTGAGTATGAGTGAGTGGCCATCTTCGTGTCCTTGGAGAACGACGCGACCTTCATCTATGAGATCATTGGGGTCTTCAATTAATATCTTTGTTTCTAGGGTGGATATGCTGCGGTAAGAATGACTTACTGTCGTCTAGTCGATTTTTGCTGCCAGAGGTCTTCATCGCTAACTTCGTGTCCTCGTCCTTGGAGAACGACACGACCTTGATCTACGAGATCATCAAGGTCTTCATTTAATATCTTTGTTTCTAGGGTGGGTATTGCTTACCGTGGTTTATTATAATAGTTGATGATTTTTGCTGCTGGAGGTCTTCGTCGCTAACTTCGTGTCCTCGTCCTTGGAGAACGACGCGACCTTCATCTACGAGATCATCAGGGTCTTCGTTTAATATCTTTGTTTCTAGGATGGATATGCTGCTTACCGTTGAGTCAATTTTTGCTGCTGGTCCAGGAGGTCTTCGTCGCTAACTTCGTGTCCTCGTCCTTGGAGAATGACGCGACCTTCAATCATGAGATCATCCCGGGGGTCTTGGTTTCATTAAAGGCAGAGGGTCCAAGGAAAAGTTATCATCTACTAATAGCGGATGGTGGTGAGAGCTGCTGTAGCGGTGTTGAGTATCAGAACAGTTGTAATGTGGTTGCTGTAGAATTAAAGTCTCTGAAAAATTTTGTAATCTCGTTGTTATGTAAGCATTGTCGATTGAACTCGATTGTAACGACATTTTCGCGTTCAAATTCAAATGCAATGCACTACACTAGACGGTGGATCACTAACTGTAACGATTTCTATGAGACTTTTTGAGAACGACCACGACGAATATTGCTATGAGTTGCTACTGCCCTTTTCCCCCTAGTCTTTCCCTTCCCTCGGCCCCTGCCTATTATCTGACCATCAGCTTCATCTACATCAGCTTCGTCTGCTTCAACATTAGTATGAGCAGCAGCTCGAGATGCTGATTCAGATGCTTCTTCTGCAGGTCGGTTGACGAGACCTGCATTGAGACCTGGGCCTGGACCTTCATGTAGCGCTACTGATGCTGGTGGAACCTCATCTGCTTCACTGTCTGATGACATGTCGAGTGCGAGCATAGCGCGATTGATTTCATCCGAAAAGTCTTCGCCACCAGCGGGATTGAGGGTGGACAACTTTGCGGTGCCAAAAATGTGGTTGTTGATACTGACCATAATATTCTTGATGCGCCTGGTGTCCCACTTTGTAATGAGCATCTTCTTATATTGAAAGAACAGGTCTTTGTAACTGATGGTCGATGATTTCCCCACTCCCGAACCGGGAAATTCGGAGTCGGGTGAGAGCAGAAATATTGCCTGCAGTTCAAACATCAGTAGATATATTTGATGCAATATACACGACGTACGATAACTGCCGCCCATGCGATAGATCCTGGAGTGACTTGTTGAAAGTTCCACTTCCGAGCATTAGTCTTTGATCCGCCACAAGGCTCTTGATGAAGCGAGGTGACGCCATGCAGTGATGCTCTCAGAATCTAGTAGATAGACCATTGTCATAGTAAGTAGCATACATGATACAAATATACGAGCAGTGAATGATAGCGCACCTTGGCGAAAAGTATCCAGTTGCCGAAAACAGTCTTGAGGGTGGTGTCTTCTTGCAGACCTGGGAACAAAAGAGGCGGAAAGATTTTATAAGCCTGCGTCTTGCCAGACACTCCAAGCATCTTTTGAATTTCGACAACGCTGGCTCTGTCGAAACTAGGATTGGCAAAGTACTTCGCAGGAAGGTCAAAAATATCTCCAGCAACTGCCACGTAATTTTTTGATCTCGTTTGAACGAGCATCGCTGATGCACTTATGTACCTACCATAGTTAAAGAATACATCAGATGATAGTTAGAACAAAACAAAATATGTGACGTACGAGGTCTTTGAAGTACACACTCTGTATGGCTCGATGGACGCGTTCTGGGAAATGCTTGTAAAGTTCGTCTAAGAAGGCCGTTTCCTGAGTTGCAGCAGTCTTGTAACGGTCATGGCTATCGAATGGTGTAGGCAAATCCGGCAGCTTCTTGGTGAGAAGTTCATTGTCCGGAAACATCTCCACTGTCATGCCGTATTTACGAGCATACAGTGAGATGGTCTGTTCGTGAGCAACGAGTTCATCAGGTGCTTCAACGCGCCGCTTCCGTTTGGGCTTCTCGGCAAGTAGAACTTTGTTCTTCTCCTTGAGAGCACGATTTTCTTCGCACAGACGCTGAACTTCGAGCTGCAATGCTTTGACTGCCTGGAGCACGATATCAAGTTGAATATAGTTAAGATAATAAGTTGTAGCTAGTACGTACATCCATGAAATCTCCCTTGGAGGCGTTGGGCCCTGGGATGGAGATTTGCTCGATGTTGCCCTCATCGAAGTCGTCATCGGAGTTGCTGTCCGATATGTGCACTGAGAGATGAGACATTGTCCTACAAGATGTTCAGTGGCAAGACAGCGAAGGAAGAAATGGTGTGATGCACCTTATATACAATTCGACACGTTGCCTACCCACATCTTCTTACGTCTTTGGGTAATGACTATGGTGGCTCGGCATTGTGATTGATAGCGGCAAACTGATGTGAGGCACGTAAACGAGCGCACAGACTAGAGGGTGCCCTCGCAAGATGAAACTTTAAAGAGTGAACCTTAATACACGTGCATCAAAAGGGCTCGTCACAAACCGGCTGATAGTCTGATTGCTGATTCAGACCCTTGAGGTAGTTAGGAATCCCCCAGGATGGACGCTTCACGACCTTCGACCCTCGAGGTAGTTCAGGATCCCCCAGGATGGACGCTTCGCGACCTTTGACCCTCAAGGTAGTTCAGGATCCCCCAGGGACGATCTGGTGGCGACTAAGATGGGGTTGGGAGGATGCATCTAGTGATGGTGATGGCCGGTGACATGGAATTGGGAGGACGTGTCTAGTGGCGACTGAGATGGGGTTGGGAGGATGCGTCTAGGAGATGGTCAGTGACAGAGATGGAGTTGGGAGGACGCGTATGGTGATGGAGATAGCTGGTGATTAAGATGGGGTTGGGCCATGATCGAGTTGTTGATTCCAGCGCTGATGAGTGCTAGGTGATCTTGGGGGTTCTTGGAAGAGAGCTTGATCATGAATGGCGAGAAAGTCTTGAAGGCGTTGATGCATTGAACAGAGTGAAGTCGGTGCCGAGGAAAATGAGGTATATCATGAGGCAGAGTATGCGGAATGTATGTCTAGAGGCGGTGATGACATTGCCTGGTATTCACGAGAGGCAAAAGCAGACAGTCAGTGAGACCAACGAGTGAAGATACTAGTAAGCAGGCATACCATCTGTAAGGGGAGGAAGACTATGTGTGGCATCAAACACGTACAAGGTGCCCTGCCTCAAGATGCAGCGCCTTCACACGAAGGAACATGTCGGTGTCAACAGTATCGACAACAATGTAATCATTGCTACCATCCGGCACTAGGAAAGCTCCGCGGATGATCGACCTTACTGAAAAAAATTCAGCCTGCGCCCTGGAGTCTTGCTCGCACACGAAAGATGGAGAGATGCTTGTCTTTTCGGATGCGAACACCAGTGGGAGCATCAAATGGGTGAATAAGGGCAAGGGAGAGGGCTGTATCTTCCAGTGTACATTCAAAAACAAAGAGCAGGCGACCAAAGATGATCTTGTCGGTTGTCTGGACGAACACACAGTCGAAGCGCAGAGTACCAAAGAACTTGGGATTACAACGAAGGAAATCGGTATGTTGGCGCCAATCTACCAATGACTCATAGTTAACCTTTAAGAAACGGCACCCGGTAATCTATCCCTTCACGTCAGTATAACAGAACGCAGCCAAACTGGACAATGATCATCGTACCTTGCCATTTGCTTTGAGCTGGACCTGCTTTCCGCCTGGTAGAGGGACTTGAATGGCTGGTAAAAAGTTAGTTAAGAAATCATTGAGCCTGATACGAAAGTTAGTAAATGCGCTGTCATGTCTGTGAGTGTTCTCGACAGATTCAAAAGTCTGTGGAGCTTGTCTGGATCCAAGCTTTACATGAGGCGAGTCGTTCGAGACGACCAAATCATCCACCACGGAATTGTCTTCGTCCAGCACATTGTCGACATCGCGTGACTGATACTCATCGAAGTCGGATATGTTCCGGCAAATGCTCTCGGCGACCACTTGCCAATGATTGATGCGAAGAATCTGTAAATATTGTAGCAGTAGTCTAAGATCAACAAGTCAATGATATTGAGAATAAAATCTGTTACCTGCGGCGCCACATTCCTGAAGTTGGTGCGCATTTGATACGAATCTTTCAGCGACCCGTGCATCTTCTCGTTTGGCTTCGTGTTGTAGTTACGTGTAGCTCCTTTAGCTTCGATGTTGTCAAAGATATGCACACTCATGTGCAATTTGGGGAAGTTCCAGTTCTTGTCGCTCGTGTCGGCTGTTTTAGTTATATATTGCTATTATAATAAGATTCATTGACGAACAATTTCGAGGGAAGTCGAGAAAACACACCTGGAGATAGGTTGAGAACGCTTGAACTGCGTGTCGGCCTGCACGGATAGTATCAGCTGTGTGAACCTCGAGTGCTGCATATAAATCGACTTCAAGAAAGAGTCGAATACAACGAAGTAAGAGGTAGCCGATTGGACACTCGTCCTCAGTCACAATGGTATGTGCAGCATAGATCACCATCTAAGAGAACAACCATCAGACTCGACTCATCAATAAGAACCTACGAAAACATACCTTCGAAATGTCTTCATACACGCTACTATCCGCAAAGGAAATGCTCATGACTTGCGATAGATGTTTGAGATTGCGCCACCGTGGAAACGCCTCGTAGCTAGTAACACGAAATCAAAAAAGTCCTAAATTGCAAGCTATAGACTTACTTGTGGTCCATCTGTGCTACACTTGCTCTCCCAAGACTAATGATTATTCTCTGCAGTTCGGCCCACAAATGATCGCGGTACAGGCCACCATTGAAATGGAGCCTATCCCACGAGAGTGCGTAATGTACACAAGTAAGCGCAACGATCCAAAAAGCGTTCTAACATGGTTGGGTTAGTAATACAACACCGCTGGTACTATAGATAACAGAATCTTACCTGGACATCACGAAGTCCATATTGTTTGAGCATATCATCTCTCTCTTCAGCGGTCTGCTTGCCCCGCGCAACCTGCAAGACGTTCTGTGACTGATCGGATGTTCGACGAGGATAGGCCTTCAAAGTATCCAAAAGGTCGTCATGGGGAACGAGACAAACTGGGCATGGCCACAGGGACTTGATCCCTCGAGTGAGCGACATAACACATCTAATACATTGACAAGTAGTCAATTATTCATATGTACAGATAAACGAACGCACTGACTGTTCCTCGTAATCGGCCGACAAGATTAATATCGAAGGAAAGAACCAGTGTTGGATGCTGTCAAGACATTCAAACCATTGACCTGTACTAGATTTTGATGCTAGCGGAGAGAGAATCTTCAAGAACGCCTCGTGCCAAACAGCGTTCTTGAAATTGACCCAGCTTGGCTTGCCAGCGTGATCCTTCTCCTCCTTCACCTAGAACTACGATCAGTGCTAACCGCTAACTAATAAAATACTCCATACAATAGGAAGCCACCCAACAACGTAGCCACCACCCATACCTTGACCATTGCGAATGTCGGTGGGAAGGTTCGCAAGGCGTGCAACAACAGGGTAACCTCTTGCGGTACCAAATGAGGACAACTTCGTCTTGTCCGCATACAGAATAAACGCCAGAGGTTTGGCGCCCTCTGGTAGCTGAGACTATGAGGCAAAAGAATAGATCAATTCATGAATACAAGAAATCACTACAGCAGTATTACATACTTGAACATTCCAAAAAGCTTCAGCCGTGTAAGGTTCATCTACAAAGTTTACAAATGTCTCGCCATCAAACTTTGAGAAGCGCTGCGCATCAAATACCATGTGCGGAAAGAGCTGAGGATCACGAAGGAGATCAGTAGCCCACTCCCAGAGATTGCGATAGTGTAGATCAAACTCTCGTATGGTACCGTCATACGGTACTGAAATCATGTCTTGAGTAAACTAAACTTGAGAGTCGTCAGAAGCTAAAGATCAGAGAAATAAAGAAATAACCCCCGTAAGGCGATGGGAAGCAGTCTCCCACCTGTCGTGAATGTCCTTGTGGGTCCGGAATGTGAACTTCTCCTGTCGGGAAGTGCACCGGTTGCAAAGTCGTATGAGCTGATCAGTCTGCTCGTTGTTCAAACAAGCCTCCAGGGCAAGTTCAGCAAGTTCAAACTCTAGTCGCGACTTGAATGGCGCCCAGGGGTGCTGGTTAGGCGGGATAGATGCCAGTGGGGTTGGACACCATTTGAAGTCCTCAAAAGCGTGGACCTCAGGTGGGATCCCACTGCTTGGATGATACTCACACCTAATGTCGTCAACCCGGAATCTGGGAGTGCTTGCACGTTCAGAGACATCGGCATCAGCAAAGTGATCTGTGAACAGTGAGTCATGAATTATAATACATAACGAATGTAATTAAGATTCTGACTTACCGTCAATATACCCCATGCCATCATCCATCTCGTTTCCCATAAATTCATTGGCACGCTCTGAATCGTTGACACTTGCGCGTGATGATTGATGTCTCGTTAAATTTGAAGGGCCTATGAGTCAGTTTAAATACAAAAACTTAGACTGATAGACAAATGAATTGAACTTGGACATACCTGCTTCTGCCTCTAAATCTTCCCTTCGAATGGATTCCGCAACAAGCTGATTCTGACGCTGTTTCTCAGCCTTCTTCTCACAGGCCTTGCAATGAGTGGACCACCCACGTGGTTTGAGGTCTTGTTTGCACAGATCGCAGAATTTTGTGCGTTCGGGGGCCATGTCCTGGATAGACGGGTAATATATAAGTATGGGCAAGGGAGGGAAACTGTTGAGAATGTGGTCGAAGGCGAGCTGTAGGATATCCATAACGTTGTAACCGCATTGTAATCGATTGAAACTCCGCTATAATGATTACATGAAGGTTGATAGCATCATTGTAATCCAATTGTAACGTGATACCAACGGTTCCTGATTACAATCGATTTCGGAAATTTGCGACACCTGATAAACCACGTCAGAAGCTAATGTTATACTATTAAAATAGGCAAATTACCTAGAATCACTTCGAGGAACCGTTGGATTTATGAGTCTGTCCGCTGGGAGTAGTGTACTGCGAGTACCCTGTGCCACTGTTGTAGTAAGTGGACCCATTCGGGTTGTTGTAGTAATAACTCCCGTCGCTGTCAATATAATCAGTACCACCAATCAAGAATTATTCATGATGAGAACTTACTTGTTAGAATAGTGGTATCCAGTACCGCTGCTACCGTAGTCGCGTGAGCAGTAGTGATTGCCCTACGAAAAGTGTTTGTTAATCACCACCCCTAACTCGCAAAACGGGCGCTTACTTGGTCGTTGGTACCATGACCAGTGTACGTGTAATCTTTTCCGTTGCTAGACATCTTGAACGTGTAAGAAGTAGTACTGATAATGGGAGATGCAAGGGTGGTGCACTGATGAAAGACGGGCTAGCTGCAGTCCTTTTATCTGGTAGTGCTATTTGTTGAACTTTGTCCTTTGTTTGTTTGTTTGCACAATTCATGTTTCCCCGCATTAAATTAGTGTGAATCATAATACATTTATCAAGAATTCGTGACCACGTCACTCGACAGATGAATCGATGATGTTTAACCCTAGAATATCGTGAGTTGAGATCAAATTTATGCACAGGTTGTGCATTATATGTGTCATGGAAGACTGGCCCAGAGGGCGGTCACCTTGGGTCAAGATTCAAGAAGGTAGTTTAAAGTTTGTGCGTCTCCGATGCGGCGTAAGTGATATGCCTTTTTGGGCGTTATGTATTCCGCTATCAACCTTGCACATGCTACTATGTCTGTTGAGCAGCAACCATGGATTTTACAAAACTCTTTTCAACACTTTCGTTGACCGGTGAGGATATTCCTCCTCGCTCTACGACGCGCCCCACACGAAAACCCAAATTTGTGAAGTTTCTCTCTGGAGATAATGGCGAAGGCATGCCAGAGACTTTTTTTGAGGGTAAGTGGTTCGACTCTTTTGAGGACGAGTCCTAGATGTCCTACTCTTTCAAGATCCTCGTACATTCAAGCCAAAACCGGGTCCCCATGGACAGATTCAGACTTGGGGTATATTTCCGGTATGTCGCCTACCAATCCTTCCGAATCAGTTAATTGACGTGTACAGTACAACGAAGATAATATCTGGGACTGTAAGCAAATATTCTGAGTCTAGTAGATTGTATATCCTGACTCTTCAAACTAGTCGATGGAATCCAAATGATGTATAGAACAGTAAGTTCATAGAGATGGTTTGATCGTCTCGTTTATTTGGCTTTAGATGGCCCACCAATTCTCCTACGACAACCGCGGTGGAACACCCTGGCCTGAAAATCAATTCATGGATGTTCTAAAGGATCGTAAGGTGGGTGCGCTTTGAGGTAATTCCGTTCTTTTCCTGACTTGTTATTGTCTTCGCAGCGCGACCAGCTCAGCAAACTTGATCTCGCAGACCTTGACAAGAAAGATATTGTGATCAAGATACACTTGAAGTATGTTACTTGTATAAATGATGCCGCACCCTCTCTGACATGTTCTTCAAAGGTTCTTGCAAGATGCCAATGGCGACCCTCGCATATGGCGCCGGGTGCGCCTCTCAGCTGGTATGAAGATAGGCGTATTCCAGGATAAGGTCCTTTCGCCCATTCTGAACTGGTACTCATTTGATGTCCCGATTCTATTTACACACTGAGGCCATTGTTTTGTGTGTAGGGTACGAAACCTCCACTGCTACACGTTCACGGATCTCAGAGACGGCGCTGTATTTGGTCCTGAGGTAAACTGAGCCACTTTTACGTCATAGTCCATCTCTAATTACATACATAGGACGCCAACGCAACAGACATAATGCATATCAACCAGGCACGTAAACCTAGGGAATATGTTTGGAGCGTCTGACATCTCGACCCTAGGTTGGATATGTTTACCTTCCGGATGACAAGTAAGAGCATAATCTCCCCGTGTCACATTGATTCTGAAGACACTTAGGTATATGCTCGCCCACTTGTTTTCAAAAGTGGGCGATACGTTTGCGTACTTGTATGACTATGGGGACAAGTGGCACCACGAAATCGAGGTACGGTCGAATACCTTGCCTGATATTGGACTGATTTTACGTCGATCAGATCGAGAAAGTTTTTCCCGTCGAGGAGTCGTATGGACGTGTTCAGATACTCGATGGCAAGGGCATGTGCCCAGGTGGTGAGCTACTTTTCTAATGTACACAATATTCCACTTGTCAAACTATCATCCAGAAAATATGAGAGGGTCGTACCAATACCAAAACTTTCTCAAGGCCTACGACACTGATTCGTACACCGAGCAGTACTAGGGTTTCCCTTTGATTCAATTTCAGTGCTGAACATCTCTCCAGGGTTAAGAAAAGACGAGAAATTCTTGATTGCCCAAATTACAAAGGCTTCAGCAAACCTCCTTCTCTGTTCGACGTTGACGCCTTTGACGTCGACCAGGCTAACGAGCGACTCTCCGCAGCACTGAGTTCGCCCAACTCAGTCAGGGCGGGCATGAAGGCATTCACCATGCCTATCAACCCCAGCGCACATGATTCCAGGACGGGCAAACTCAAGAAAGGTCAGAGCATTCAGCGCGAATGGGACCACGAGAGCCATGGATATTGGCAGGAGACAACGTCCAGCACGAAGGATAAAAGAAGTCAGTCGGCTTGTGCTGCTTGTGGAAAGCCTGGTGGCCAGGATCTTAAGACGTGCAGTGGTTGCAGGGCCATTTTGTGAGCATTTCTGAACAAACTGGGGTGATATGATGCTAAACAGGATGTCGTCTAGATATTGTTCTGCTGAGCACCAGAAGGTATGATTGAGACATTTTGCAGGTCTTGTTGCTGACGAATGTGCTATCAAGGTACACTGGAAAGATGTACACAAAAAGCAGTGCTCTCGCAAGTATCTCAAAAAATGATACCGTTCCATATCATCTCCAATGCTGGTATATCATTCCTACATGAAACAAAGTATAATATATGTTTACCGTATCTTTGCAATGTAAGCACGAATAACTGTGGCCCAGCTCCCAGTCGGTGGCCACTGCGTCCATCACGTTCCATCCTGCAGCTGCATAAGCACCTAGTACTGCATCTCCTTGATGTCCTTGAAGCTATCAGAGCTGCCACTCGTGGCTATACCACGATAAATGATTTACTGGATTTCAAAAGTAACTGATTTCACAATCAGACATGTCACCCACTCAAGTACTCGGGGTGATATGACTACTACTTGGTGCAAGTGTGGGCGAGCGGTTCACTGACTTCCAGTACCGACAAGAAATGGGTTCGTCTACACAAACCTTATCTCAAATGTACTTTGAAACACCATAGCTTAAGCAAATACCACAACGGATCCTCGGCCAGATTTCTCCTCCCTGCAGAACACCCGGTAAGCATTTCCCTACATAGTACTGCTAGTTTGTATATGTACACGTTCCTGGAGGATAATCGAATTCATACTAATTTCATCGTCGAAGTTGGCCACCAGTTCAGCATGATATTGTCGAACGCTAAGGATGAGGCGTGGTCCCAGAACAAACATCTGCACGTGAAAGAAAATCTGAGAAACACTACGGGGTGTCGGGACTCCCATAGGCTTTAAATACAGAAATATGAGCAGTAGTTAGGAGCATATATCAGCGATAGGTCGGCTCACCACAGGCTCTGGAAAGCTAAGAAGCTGGAGGCAAGAGACACAAGTAAAGCTAGCACGCACGGAACTTAGCAGAAAAAGATAGCCGCATTCACATTACAAGCTCACCTGACAAAATAAAGCACGTGAGATTGTATCAGCACTCTGAAACAGTCGCCGACGGTTGATCCTGTCGATGTGCCCAGTCGTCGCAGGTAATGAAAGTGTTTTACAACAGTCCAGATGGAAAGACACAGTGCAAGGCCCTCCCAAGCAGTGTAGAGCATCCAAACTATTGAGTACAGAAGCTGGGCATCCCGATCATATTCAAAGGCACACATATGCGTGCCGGAGAGTATCAGCTCCTCTGGCGCTCGTCCAATGAGGTGTGTTCTTCAAAGTCAATAAGTCGAGCTTACCCGCTGCAGTATCCTTGAGCATTATTGCCACATTTACTCCGCATGTGATGGTTACAGTCAGGAAGACAATAACAAGGAAGATAAGCATCGCTCTAGATCCCTGATACATGGAATATAAGCGAGCGATGATGATGACTTGCATCATGTTTCAGTCGAATCAACATCACTGAGGTATTTCATCTGGTAACTCACCGCCCAACATGACAGGTACGACCACATTTGTCCCGCTTATTGCATATTTCGTAATATCACCTGAAACACTCAATTAGTGGTCAGCCTCGTAGTAGGATCAAACACTCCGACTCACACCTGTTGAATTATTATGTTGAGCCAAATTCAATGATCAGAATCTCACTCACCCCTACAAATGAATATATTCATTGTATGGTGAGATGGTTGCGGAATACTTACTGCATCTGTGAGCGAGACCATTGGCATATATGCTGCCAGTGTGTGCCGCCGGTCAGAAGAATCGAACATTGCATAGGAGACATACGCAGAACGCTAATACTGATGATGGGAGATGGGCTATTAGCACAACGCCACTATGTTGGCCTCTAAAACATACACAGTATACGGTAGTCCAATATAACGTATCTGGAACATTTTGGAGTCAGCACAATTGCCAATCAGCCAATCACGCCATAGTATAATATGAGGTACGCACAACCATGTACAGCACAGTCATGAGAGACCAGCGTTGTCTCTGTCGCGAATTCATTGTGATCTGCTGTCGTTCCCCTTGGTATGGGACTCTGCCACTCACCCAGATTAGTTCAATCTATGATACAATTCTCAGCGAGTTGGCTACTCCGGCAATAGCACCGACCTACCTCTCGTTCGAGTGTTAATACTGACAATATCATAAGAATATCAGCGGTTTTCGAACACTGTCCTGCTTACCCCAGTCGTATACCACCATGAGGCCTGCAGCAACTGCGAAGCCGCAAGTCAATGTTAAATTAAGACGTCACCAACTAACACGACGAACCGATCCAATAGCTGTTAAAAATAGTCAAATTGATCATCGGCCACCAACTCGGATCATTTGAGACGAGGGTCATATTCGAGGGATGGGTGTGAGTGAGCGGGGGATGTTGGGGGTTATTTCTAATGTTCGGAACTTCCTGCTAGATATACCACCGTTCAGTGTTTGTACCGCCAAAATCTACATGATAATACCGGCAATGCCACGTATACATTGTTAACGTTGATGCATTTTCCAATATCCGGAACGTTGTCTGACCGGTACTGGCGCATCACTACCAACCCTCATGAAGTACATTCCAGTGGCGTACAGGGTTTCATCAAGGAATATTGAATACCCACTAGGTACCAATGTAAGTTACTGTACCTTTTAAACACGAATGCGAATACCCTCTATGGATATATCGATAGACTCGTGACCCTGAGCCCGACGTACGTCTTTTGAAAGTGGGGGATTTTGATGCAGTTAGACTGGTACGCAAGTGATGCATTGATGCACGGAGTTTGAAAATATGCAGGTGCCGTTTGTGCCGGGTGTCATCGGACATTGCAGAGACTAGACTATTGTAATGTCCTACATAAAGCTACATCTGCAAAGGACAGAAATTGGATATATAAAGTATGTCCCTACACAGTACTGCTAGTTGATACATGTACACCCTGGAAGACAATCGAATTCATGCTAGTTTCTTCGTCGAAGTCGGCTACGAGCTCAGCGTGATATTCTCGAACGCCAAGGATGAGGCGTGGTCCCAGAATAAACATCTGCACGCCAAATAAAATCTGATATGCACTATAGAGTATCTGAGCTCCCGTATACTTCGAATTCTACAGAAATGATGAGCAGTCAGCAGAAGCAGATGTCAGCAACAGGTCGGCGCACCACAAGCTCTGGAAAGATAACAAGTTGGAGGGAAGAGACAAAAACAAAGCTAGTACGTGCGGAACTTGAGCAGGAAAAGATAACCGCATTCATATTACAAGCTCACCTCGTAAAATAAAGCACGTGAGATCTTATCAGCACTCTGAAATAATCCCCGATGGTCGATCCTGTTGATGGGCCGAATCGTCGCAGGTCACGGAAGTGTTTTATAGCGATCCAGACTGAAAGACACAATGCGAGGTACTCCCAAAAAATGTAGCACACCCAAACTATCGTGTTCCAAAGCTGGACAATCCCCTCAGACCCAAGATAGCACATATATATGCCAGAGAGTATCAGCTCCTCTGGTGTTCGTTCAATGAGCTGTGTTCTTCAAGACAACAAATAAAGCTCACCCAGCACTAGATCCTTTAATCCTATTGCTGCGATTACTCCGCAGGTGATGACAACGGTTAGGAAGATAATAACAAGGAAGATAAGCATCGTTCTAGATCTTTGATACATAGCATGTAAGCGAGCAATCATGATGACTTGCATCATGTTTCAGTTGAGTCAATATCACAGAGGTATTGAAACTGGGTGACCTACCGCCCAACATGGTGCCTACGGCCAGATTTGTCCCATGTATTGCGTAGATCATAATATCGCCTGAAACACTATTAGCGATCATCCTCGTACTAGGATCAGATACTCGGACTCACACCTATTGAATCATTACTACGTTGAGCCAAGTTCAATGGTCAGAATCTTACTCACCCCTACAAATTAATGTTTTCATTGGATAGGAATCATGATGAGAGGGTAGCCGAATACTCACTGCATCCGTCAGCGATACCGATGGCATGCTTGCTGTGTGCCACTGGTGAGAATAATTGAACACAGCACATATGAGACATACCTAGAACGATGATACTGATGACGAGAGATATTCTATTAGCATAGCACTAATTTGTTGGCTACCATAACATACATAGAATATAGTATTACGATATAGCGTATCTGGAACATTAATATTTTGGGATCAGCACAACTGTCAATCACGCCATAGTATAACATGAGGTACGCACAACCATGTACAGCACAGTCATGAGAGACCAGCGTTGCCTCTGTCGCGAATTCATTATAATCTCCTATCGTTTCCCCTGATACGGGACTCTGCCACTCACCCAGATCAGTTCAATCTATGACACAATTCTTAGCGAGTTGGCTGCCACGGCAATAGCACCGACCTACCTCTTGTCCGAATGTTAGTACTGGAAATGTCATGAGAATATCAGCAGTTTTCGTACACTGTGCTGCTCACCCCAATCATATAGCACCACAAGGCCTGCGGCAACTACGAAACCGCAAGTCAACGTTAGATCGAAACATCGCCAACTGATATGACGAACCTATACAATAGCTGTAAAAAATACCCGAATTGATTATTGGCCACCCACTGGGACTGTTTGAAAGTACTATGGTCATATTCGAGGGTTCTGTGTGAGTGAGTGGGGGTTATAATGATCTCAGGCTAGCCTTGTTCCGGTGCTAGATATACCACCGTTCAATGCTTCAACGTCTGAATATTGATGCCCGCCTCTGAGTCAAGGCCCTTTCGGATTGGCTGAAGTAAATAGCATTGCGATGCGAAGTAGAGCAGAGTAATAGAAGTCAGACATCCGAATGCAAGTACTAACAACAATCGCCGAAAGTCCGAGTCCGGTATCCATGTCCCGGGGACCGGCACTGCGTGAAAGAAGAGCAAACTTGAACCACATTCGTGCCTCTCCACACGATACATAACGCTACCAGTCAACGTTTCAACGTTCAAGATCGACATCTGGCAGAACCGTTGACCATGGTTCAATTTATTTTCCGCGGCTTATCTGTAAGTCCGAGTCCGAGTTTCTTGTGAGGACCGATAGTCCAGACCAGCCAGAGTCTAAGGAAAGTTTTAGCCAACAAGAAAAAATCACTACAAATTCTGGCTAATTAGCCGGCACAAAACAAAACGCTTATGTAAGGCCATTTAGCATGTTAGCAGAACTTACTAGGACCACTCTGGAAAAAACTGACCTTTGTACCTGGTGCCTTGGTCCTTACGCAACGCCGTCATCGAACGGTGTACTCGGGGATCTGATTCCCGGATCCTCTCTACAAGTACCTATAGGGCTTACCTTCCCTTATTTGTGTCCAATTAATCATTTCACTCTTATGTACGGGTATACAGAATTGTACATCGCATCCGGCCATAATCGATTAATCGAACTCTAACCAAGCCCTCCTCCATAAAGAACAACCTCCCACCATCGATCATGGTTGCTCTCATTCTCCTGGTGATTATCCTGCGTAGCTTTTGTTGAAGGAGTACCACTCCGCTGGCTACGGAATTCCCTTGACCGCCGGCTATGGAATACTTCCTTTGTACCGATTTGAATTGGTTTCCTGTTTGAACTTGGTTTGCGCACACAAAAAAACTCTGCTGGCTATGGAGTTCCCTTTGTACCGCTATAAGCACCGACTTAGATATAAAAGCATGTCCTTACTTTTCGTGTCTTTGGTGAATTAACTCCCCCTCACTCATCACTCGTGACCCATCATTTCCCCGTCGAACTCATAGCTAGCCTTACAGTGTACACCTTGACCATCTCACTCTTCTGATTAATTGTGGTACAGAGTTGAACATTGTCCGCCATAATCGAACTCATAAGGTGGCCCATTTCCGAAGACCCTTGCCACGGCCCACAACCTAGCTTGTGCACCAACCAGGGAGTCCCCCCTAAGCATAAGTACAAGAGGCCAGCGGCACCAGTTGTACTACGACAATTCTGACCTCGAGGCTATCGATCTTTGGCTTTGGCTAACTTCTCGAATCATTAAATAATGCCAGCCCACCGCTTCGGCGTGAAATCTGTACGATTTATTTCGTGATTCCATTAAACTCTTCCAGGCCTGCATTAATTAATGATCAAGGACGGGTCACGGGTCAAGCTATGAGCTGATATTCAAACGTGGACCGCCGTCAGATCATCAGCAGAATCCACATCTCGTTCAATCACATGTATTAGTACCTGAGATCTGGTGTATGTAACTGCTACAGCACGCAATTCAAAAAAGCTCGATATTCAATAATATATCTCACCCACTACCACGCACATTCAATCATAATCACAACACACCCACCATCGTGGTGCATACCCCATCAACTGTGTCATGATATCCATCTGTTCTTGCGTCGGACGCTCTTTAAACGAGTCGTCTTGTTCAGAACACACAGCTAACACCGGAACAGTGTCAATTTGAACGGCCCTAATTTCCTCATCGCCGGATCTAAAGTATTTAGCCATGAACGCTTCCAACCACAGAGGAGGCACCTCGCCCTCCTTGGGATTGAAACAAAATTTAAAATCGAACGACCAGACGTCCGATCGAGCTGAGATGAACTCGCGTGCCCGCAACATGGCGTCACGCTCGTAGTATCTGTGATCGCGTTCGGGCAACATTTCTGGACATTCTTTCTCCGCGAAACGGATTAGCCAGTCGTTGGGGATTGCATATCCATAGTACTGGATATAAGGACGACCTATGATCGGATTGATGTGGGACTGTTTCGGTGGACGGACGAGTTTGAATGGTTCGGGTTGTTGTCTGATGACGGAAGTCTCAGTTTCTGGAGCTGTAGTGGTCTCTAGGTCATTAGAGTGACAGTCGTGACGATGACTCGGAGAGGAGACATTCGTCGTCGCGGCTTTGAATAACTTGGAAAGAGAAGAAGGCATCTTCGTTATAGGGAGGCAATGACAAGTCTCTCCAGCCTTATATAAGGTGCAGAACAAAAGAAGTTGAAGTGGCGCGTTGCACTTGTGGTTGTCCAAATTGTGGCGAGTTATGGACAAAAGGTCACAGCTAACAATGTGGTAATCCAGCTAGTAGGGATGCAATATGTTAGAGCAGTGCAACGACCATTAGTGGACTCTCACCGAAACCCACAGTTGTTTTGCAGTGGTTGTCTAAGATCATAGACAATGCATGAACCGGTGTACCTACGCTAAACCATGCCTTTGCGCACACGCGTTATCTTGACGGCAAAAACTCCCCCTCGCTTTATGATGGTTTTCGCAGCACGTCCTCAACTGTGGCAAATTTAACTGTAGCACTTGAATGAACGTGATGAGATAGACTCTACATGCTTAAACACTCACTCGAAGAATTCTCGATTTCAGTCGAGGTGTGATGGTGGATATGTTCATTCTATACAACGCACGTAAAATAATAGACACGCCTGAAATCAACAATCTCCCGAGGAGAAGGTTTGTTGACATGTCGACATTGTATTTCTGTTTAAAAAGTGAGATTGTTTGTACGAGTCAAGAAACGTTGTGTATTTGTGATGCAGACAGTATTAGCACATGGCGATAAAGAAACATGGTAAAACAAACAAGAGGTTTGGCCGTGTTAATAAATTACCATGGCAGATAGGAGAACAGGGATGAACGGGATAAGAGAAACAGCCAAAAGATGAAGATGGACGATGAAATATATAGGTACCATCCAGCGGATGACTGGCTTGATTCACAAAAGTGACAAGGAGTTGATGATGCTTCTCCAGCAGGGCTAGTAAACAACAGATAAGAAATCATTATGGACGTAAATTCAACAGAAGGTCATGATCCAACCGTAAATGAGGAGATGGGGACTGTAAAAATAGATAGTAATGACAATTTGCCAATGTTGAATCATGATACCCAATACTGATGAATCCATGCCTTGCGGATAATATCAAAAACCGACAACAAGTGGATAGATTGCAGCGTCGTCGTCCAGCCGGGTCGAGTGGTAGATACAAGGGAGTCTGTTCTTCATGTTGATACAACAGGGATTCCGCATGATTGATGAAAAAGAATGCGACATGGAAAGTGTGTGAGACGTGAAGGAGCCAGCAGATGGGGATAGGAAAGATAAATCAAGTGCTTGCGAGGTCGATACTAGCGCCGAGGACGCCGCCTCTGTCATGATGGATGTCAGTGAAACTGCTGACGGTGCCATGAGTGCCCTGGTAGTGGTGCCGCTGCTGCTCTTCTTCAAAAAGCTTTCTGCCGACATCCGCACGCAAATTAGCACTCGGACCAGATTTGAGAGATACTGCTGCACGCGGCGCAGCTGTAAAGGCAGGGGAGGGGGAAACATTGATAAAGTCATTGAGATTGAATGGGACATTCCCCGGAGTGGGTGGGGCGTGAAGGCTGCTTGATGGCGAACCCGAATAACCGTTCGAAGTATCACTGCGCCTAGAAGGTGAAGGCGGAGATGGTAACAGTGATGAGGATTCAGCACTCAAAGTTGGAGTAGGTGGAATAATTGTTTGCTCTAAAGATGGCGCAGGCGCGAGAGATCCAGGGGAAGCGACATCCAATGGCTGGCTCAAAGGTTGCGTACTATCTTGGCTAGAAGGTAAAGTCTCTGAGGTAAGGCTGCATTCTGATCTCAGCGAGCTTCTAGTATCTTGGCCTGGAAAAAGGATCTTTCCCTTAGTAAGGAGAGATGCCGAACCGCTTCCAAGGGCTCTGTAGGCTGCAAAATCTTGGGTATCCCTGTCCCGGGTGGTTGTAGGGCGTGCGGGAGACGGCGATGTATGTAGATAAAGCATGAGGTTAGCAGCCTCCTCGTCATTTGTGTGAGGTGTGGAGTAGATGTTGTCACCCGAGTTACGGGGTGGGGTAGCTGCCCGAGGCATGCTAAATGATGACTCGGTTGATGGCAGCAGCGAAGTTGCTGCTGTCGTTGTGCGAGCAGAACTTTGTGCATATTGCGACAAAGATTGGAATGAGCTCGCGTCAGACGCGGTAGAGAGCGTGGACCGCGGAGATGACACGCTAGCCACGGAAGGACGCGACTGGAGAAGCGATGTCAAAGTGGCTACAGCCTGCCTCTCTACATCCGCCGAGTCCGCCACGGACGCCTTCTGCTTGCCCTTGTCGCCCCGTTTGGGTTTGGACCGAGTGTTATCCTCCTTGCGGCTACGGGACTGTGCACGGGTGCTCTCTGCTATGCTGCGTACGGCAGACGCACGGTCCGATCCTCGGGACCGAGATCCGGCAGTCGAGCGGGCGGCTGCCTGGACAGGAGGATCTGTTGAGTTGCGAACTGTTCGGGCTTGTTTCGATGGAGGAGGCCCGAGGAGGGTGGTAAACAGGCTCTGAGTCGCGTTGGGACTGGAACCTGTCACAGTCGTGGGATAGTGGGAACGAGGAACGGATAGGGCAGAAGTCGCAGATACGGCGGGAGGAGCCATAGCTCCACGCCTTGCGACTGTGCCCTGTGTGGCGGGATTGTTGTAATAGTTATTGCCGGTGGTGGCCTTGCGCTTAGTGCCGATCAGGCGCGGTGGAGCAGCAGCCAGGGCACGGGTTTTCGCCTCGAGGTCGATCAGCTTGACATGAGAAATATTATGGGTGGCCTTGTATGAGGCATACGAGAGACGGGCGCGAAGATTGCGCGTCACCTAGGAGAAGAAGAGAGGAGTATGTTAGTATTCTCTTATTATATCACGACCGCGCCCCACACACAGCAATCTCAGCGGGGGATCCGGTATACGAGCAGCACAGAGTAAACGATACTCTGAATGCCCTTCCATATCGTTGGCGCGAATGGCCGCCTGCCAACGCGTCCCGCGAAGTGCTCAGTCTGGAATGAAATAACTCACCATCGAAAGCTCCGTACTCGCCATGACTTTCTGGATAGCTTTCAGCCTATCCTCCTTCTCTATTGGATCCACATCCATCGATGTAGAAGGACTGTAGGGCTGTAGGTAGGTCGTTGGCGGGGACGCTGAGGTCACCGAAGACGACGGAGTCACCATAAGGAGCGCGTCGCTGGGATTTTCTAGTGATTATATACAGAATAAAGCACAATATATCACAGTGATAGCGTCTGTCCGTCAGATGTAGGACCTAGGGACCAAGAGAGGAAACTGGTCGCTGTGTGAGACGTCGGGGAGCGCGTTAAGGAATGGGGCACGCGCGACGACGCGCTAGTCTTATTCATCCGAATTCCCACGGGTCGATTTACCCGCACCCGCCGGTTTGTGCCTGTTTTTACCCGCAAATAGCTAATAATGGTTCAGAATTCACAGAGAAATATTCATCGCGTTCAATGAAAAAGTCATCGTTTTTATCTACACTTTCCTTTACGTTTGTCGGGAGCGCGTAGTGAGTGCAGAACAGAAACCATATGGTTGGTTTAAGTGGGTTATGTTCGATCGGTGGGGATCGGCCGGTTGCACGGCATGAGATTGAGATAACAGGATACAAAAAGGTCGACGGCAAGATAACCGGAGTTCACGTGAGTCTAAAAGACATCTCGCGAGAATAGCTGTAACCCAGCTGACAGTTATGAGTCTCGATCAGATGAGCATATGATCTGTGAAGACCTATTTTAGTTTATATCTTCCATGCAAAAGGCACTCGACCATTCCTACCTTGGACGACACTCCTTCACTCCTTGCTTGGACTCTTAACTTCTAAGTCATACGCAACGGCACCATTTATCTCTTCCCAATACCATCTTGGAAGAAATCCCACGCGGCGTTCCCCTCCTTCGACGTCCCTGACGTCCACATCGTCTAGCAAAATAACAGAGACCCCTATCTTTGGCGTGAATTTGATACGCCACACATTACCCTTTGAGCCTCCTCTGACGGTGTTCGTGAGGAAAGTTATAAATTGGTCTCCCCATGCTAGACAGACATTGGGATCCCACGCGCCAGGCTTTCCCCGAACTAGACGAGGTATCTGTACAGTCTGGAAGACTTGCGTAGTCGTCAAGTATCCTGATGGCTTCCTAAACCCAACAAAGATCTCCTATAATGCGGTGCATTTAGAAGGTCCTGTTTCAGTGTCATTGTGCATACCGGAACTCCTAGCAGAAATGACTGGAAATAGAACTTCAAAAGCTTTCTGTCGCATAGTCTCAGGAACTGTAAGCGTCTAAACGCAGATGATACTTACTTTTCAAACCTGGCTTCGTCTTGTGCGCCACGTATCGATAGTGAAGTTTTGAGTTCCACGAAGTTGTCAGTATTTCCGGTATATCTTCCTGTAACCAAATAACGTCTCCTATCTATTCACGCAAATTGACACATACCTCGAACGCAGTCTACTTCTCCACCAATGACGATCCGCGTATCACCCAATTTGGTCTTAACAACACTGCACCACTGAACATTGGTATCAACATCGCCGCCCCAGCCAACAGCGCCCGAGGTACCAGAGGAGGAACCAGAAGCATGTTGATTACGTTCGTTCGGAGTTGATGACGTGCAATACGATTCAAATGAATATCCATAGTAAGACTGGAGCAGCTGCCGAGGTTCCAGGTCGCTCCTTCCTCGACATGAGTAAGACACGCATGTAAGACGGGAAAAGGCTTCACTTTTCCTTTAGTCTTGCATCTGAAAGATGCTCCTCAAAGTACATAGTACCGTCGACACACATCACATTGAGCTCCCAAGCATCTCGCTCTTCGTAAGGTGCTGTCAATATCCTCTCTCACCAAAAGCATTCCTCAGGTAAACAAACATCATACAGTGAATGAGATGACATCTCACTTGGTGATAACCCCTCTCCAGCTTATCACTCCAATCTCGGGATTTTGCCCATTGAGGTTTGTCTTGAACCGTGACCACGCGCTCAACAAACCATCAATGCGTCCACGTTCTTCTGGACGCCGTGTCCAACGTTTGTAACCGTGATTGAGATCCGCACCATGCGGTGGATTGACGAAATAGCGCAATGCAGAGTCGTCAAATTGTAGAACGCGGGAGGGTGAATACGAAAACGTGATAAGTTGACTAGGGCGCTGAAACGCGGGTGAATGTGAAACTGGATGTGAAAGGCTTGGGAAGGCAAGAGCACAATCGCCTTCTATTTTGGCTTTAGCCACCTTCCCGGTTGGTAAGAGATCATCCTCTGCAGACCGCTTAAGACCCATTATATTTGTTATTAGTACTTACTGGTTGCAGGTAGTGGTCAAGGATGCGACAGGTAGTTTGTTTATTTCAGAAGCTTTTGCCAAACAACAGCTTAACAAGGCAGCTCGTGCACACTGGCAAGCATAAGCATTCTCATTTGGCAGCAACAGGTGTAAGGTGCATTTTGCCTAATCATCACGCAAGTTAGGCTCATCAAATGGCTCATCTCCGTTTCGTGCCGTGAAAGTAATATCGAGGCAACGTGGTGAACAGCCGTCTTGAATTAATTCGAGAACACTACCGTGACTGTCGTGGCTGATTCTGATGGGCCTCGTGGAATTTTTACAGTTTGCATGCACATGGACATGCTGTGAGCTTGAATTATATTCATTGTCTCCAATAACAGCAGATGGTGGTTCATTGAATGAAGTCGACTGTGAGGAATGCCTACCCATTACCTAAACGTCTGAATCAGCCAAGGGTTGTTCTACTAGCCTGGGATATCCTGATTCACGCCCATGACACATTTTACCTACAATTAATAGTAGGCATAAACCCTGGTGGGAACCGTGAGAGTCTAGGCCCCGACATTTTAGCTATATCGTAACCATCGTTCGTTGGAGCTCAATGATTGGAGGAAGACTCGACCGAATCTTGTCATTCAATTGACAAACAGGTTTGCAGAGCTCTAGCTTCACTCAGGCTGGCAGCCCTGAGGCTAGCTTGTGCAGGTAAGTGTGATTCACGAATCGCGCTCAGTACCAGCTTAATGCCTCCTTGAGTTACTCCTTTGGCATTGAGACGTGTCATTTAACGTTTATCCGAGCCTCGCCGAGTCCAACTTGAGCTGTTCAATCTTGTTGTCGCATCATTACTAGTCCAGCAGCAATGGGGCCCCGGCATTTCCTATTACCAAAACTTATCATCCGTGATCCGAATTATGTGTTGCATCTTCGGCGATCTGGCAGGACGGGTGCACACGTAACTCTAGCGTCGACGAAACATGCCGCATCAGTCACCAAGCACCGCTCTGTCCTTACTACTCCAAACACGAAGTGACTGCGTGTCCGGGTCGAGGTGCCGTGGGTTATTAGCATAAACCTATGCTGTCATAAGTACTAACTCTACTTCTTCTACCCCTTCAGATTTTCTCCCTCTGTACACTATTAAGCACTAACGACTCTCATCATGATTTTCTGTTAGTACTCGCTGCCTGCTCATTTTCCCAGTCACTAACGACCTGACTGATAGTTACGAAGAAGCCTAAATCATCTGCTCTTCCTCCCGGATGGCCATCGCCATTCCACAACAAGTGCAGCCAACGAGACTGCCACTACGCCAATAACCCGCAAACCGTCAAAGGTGTTTACCAATGTCGCGGTGTCCCCGGAGGTTTCTACTGCGAGGGCACATACAAGATCGCATCCACCCGAGCGCGTGAGACAGAGCACTATTTGCAAGAGATGACCATGGCTCGTAGATCAGCTGAAGAGGAACAGAGGAAACGCAAGATGTCAGAGATGAGGCGGAGTGAGAGGGGACCCGAGCTCGGCGTGCGACGGGGAGGAACGAACATGTCTGACAGAAGAATACCAGACGAACGAGGTCGCCGACCTGATTATGGGCAAGCTCCTCGCGTTACGAGAGGCACGGAAAATCGCCGACCGCAAACAGGTGTACCATGCTCAAGTCACCGCCCTTCGCAATCCGAAATAGAGTCTGAGTACAGGACTGACCAAATTCTGATGCATCTCTATCCCGAACGAGAGATCCGACCAAGATGGTGAGCAATACGCTAGTCCATTAGAATCGATGCTTATCAACTCGTAGGATATAACAAACGCACAACACAAGTCTCGCATTTTATGTATTTCTAGGCCCTTTAGAGCCAAATTGATGATAATAATGATTCCTGGCACGATATTACTTACATGTCCTATGAGGACTACGCATATTGTATTTTACACTTACTCCGTGTCATGTATACTTGACGAACCACAGATAAACTAAATGCCTATTCAAGATGCACGCTGGACTAGTGCTGTTACCTTTTGCGATCTAGGTGTGATCGGGATTGGGAAAGTTCTTGAGTGGGACTCCTATGTACGTGATGGCACTGGCATATGCCGATCGAGGCCTAGGGATGCATATGCACGTCAATATTCCGGCATCCGAACTCGTATTGTAAAAAGCTTCTTCACGTGGAAATTTTCATCGAGAACGGATACGCATTGCACATGGCAATCCAAACTGATTGGCGAGCTCGAGTACACTCGTTCCAACATAGCCCCTGACTCTGGTTTAACGTTCTTGATGGAATATTTCAGCTGAAATACCGTCTTCGAATCCACAATATTGCTGCTGTTCATCAGAACTTGAAAGTGTTCGAACGACCTCCCTTAATTAATATAACCTTCAGGCATGAATACAAAGAGATCAGGGCTATGGTAACATGTCCATACGTACATCCTTTTATCGCGTATCATACCGTCATCCTGTCAAAGGTACAGCGCAATGCCTCGGAATTCGAGGAAACTTATGTTATCAAAAGACAATAGAAGTCTAATTTTGCCGAATCATCCAACGGCATGGCATTTACGGATTACACCGAAGACGTTCTTATCAGTAACAATATTAATCGATGAGGGGATGTTCCACAGATCTCACCCACGGCTGTCTTGGCTGATCTCTGTTTGACCTTCGTTTGAGCTGTATTTTTTCCCTTCAATTAACATGGCCATCACCATGAGAGTTGATACCGCTGCGAGATGATGTTATGTTGCTACAGAGATATCAGCGAGATGAACTACGCTGCTTGGCAGATACGACGCGAATAGTTTCATCACCATCTGTAGAGTTACCATGTAAAACATGTGAAAAAAACACACGCCTGTGTAAGGCTAGTGATGAGTTCGACGGGGCTCATAAATGACGAGCAGTCGATTGACTAAAGATACGGAGATCAAGGCCATTTTTATATCCAAGTGAGTGGCTCATCCAAGCAGGACAAAGGGAATTCTATGGTCAGTCGAGTGGCACTCACACCAGCTGCGTATGTTTGTACCTGTTTCAGACATTTGATGTGCTGCGCCCATCTCAGACGCCAACAATAACAGAAAAATCAGTATCCAGCTCAGGTCCTGATAGCTACAGCACGCTTTTGTTCATCTGCCACTGATTGCCCGATCAGCGCTCAGCGGTGGAAGCAAATAAATACTTCCGCGGAACCATTTTATGACTGTACTGTAAAGCAAGACTTGCATCTGACATCACGGACCTAAATCTTTGATCATATAAATTGAGCGGAAGAAAATGTTTAAATTCGCCTTCGCAGTTGACTTTCCGTTGTGTGTTATGGACCACCTGGGGACTGGAGGCCCCGATAGGAAAACATGGCTTGGAGATCTGATGTTTCATGCACCACTTTTTATGCCTGAAGATCTATCAAGTCGAGGCCAATGTATTCATGGACAATCGAGGAACTTCTCCGGGTTACGTTGATGTCCAACATCCATCTTTTGGAAAAATATCTCAACATGATGGAGGTTACCTGTGATTCAATAATATAAATGTTATTCCAATATCCATCGGCGAGATCTATACGAACCGTATTTTTCGTCCCATTCTACGTGTCTCGACCAATGAGCGCTTGAGCCCCTGGTTTATGTCAATGATAGGAAGTCTAGGTCAGAAGGTAGACGAAGACCTGTTGTATTTATGTCCTCTCTTGACCTACCCTGGACAAAGGAGAACACGAGGGGCAAGCACGATGGGCTGACTGAACCAACATGAATACAAATATGGCTGAAGTCGTCAAAGAATGAAATACATGCACTGTATCATGAGCCACGTCCGCAAAGAACGCATCTCAGTCATGAAATGCTGCCCAACTTCAAATATGAACATCTTGAAGTCTAGAATAATGATCAGTGAACAAAAGAAGGAAGCAACAGACGAATTACACACCCGACAGAGCTGATAGATCCTTCAGTATAGTAACAGCATGGATCAGGCGGCGCATACAGTAGTTCATCCAGCATCCGCATAATCATGGAGTACAAGTAGAGGCATTTTGAATTTGAGCTATGATATAACCTCACGTACGCACTGAAAACAAGTTGAGCTATAACAAACGGAATAACAATATATTATACAAACAACAAAGCTGCAATAAGTATTATCACTACAGCGCAAACGAATAAAGTCAACGAGGTAGAAAGTTAAAAGTCCATGCACGACGCGCCATCACCCATGGACCCTCTTGTTCGATGATTCGGCTTCACCGAGCGATCTCCTGCGTTTGCCCCTTCCTATGTACGAGGGCGGTACAATGAAATACTTTTCAATAGCAGGCCTTTGGGGTCTCGATGGCTGAATCGAGTACGCTCCCATCGTGGGACTCGTTGGATTAGAATGTACGAGAGTTTCGATGGTCATACTAGATGCTCCTACATCTTTTGGTGGTTTCTTTTTGTACTAGACGATATTAGCTACAGCGCCTGAGATTCACGAAAGAAGACGCACGGTTTCGAGTTCAGGTTTACCACGCCACTTTGCAATTGCTTCACAGAAGCGTAGTGCTGCCCTTTCAACAGGCTCAGCAGGGTAATGCCATGCCAGATCCTCCATGTGGGTGGATAGATCCGGCGTCAAAGACGGTATCGTATAGAACTAGGACAAAATAGAGGGTCAACATTCCACGTGGAATACTTCGTCAAGAACAAAAGTCTCACCCTTCTGAGGCGCTCATCCATTTCAGCTTCAAATTCAGCTTCGGCGCCCTCTCTTCGAATGGGCGTGCCGTTTCGGGCAGCTCGTAATGCCGGAAACATGATTCTTGTCGCTTCTTTGAGACTAGGTAAATCGTCTGGTTCAAACCATGCGAATGCAGAGTCTGCGTCGTCCGATGAATCGACTTGACCCAACCCATCGTCAGTGATGCCCAAGCCAACTGATAGAAGGCATTCAACAGCCTCCAGACCCCACCACCCTCCAGTAAGATAACCTTCTAGAGTGGCACGGGAAAGTAAGGCCGCGAGAAGCATATACCATTCTCGCGAAGGCCGTAAAGGAGGTGCAGAGGGGGACTCAATGGTTTGAGATCTTCGGGATGAGGGCCGAGGCGAAGTCGGAAATTGAGCGGACATCTCTGAACCCCGCTGCCAGTCACCTTCATACTCATCATCGCCAAGCTCTTCTCCAAGCTCCGTTGCGACAAGGGCAGAAAGCCTCAAAAAGCGCGGAATAAGCTCTGACAGCCGAGTGTTCCCAGCGCCAGCACCCGACTGTTCCTCTTCAGAATCAGCCATGCACCACTTCGATTTTCGGCGCAATACGCTGCCATCCACACCCGGCTGAGCCAAGCCCGATCCAACACCGGGGCCATCTTGCCAGCCAGCAATACCACCTCCACTGCCACCCATACTTCCACCCGAGCCACCTAGTCCTCCTTCCCAGTCTCCAAAGCTTCTGGTGCCCATTGCAGTATGTTGTGGGCGTGCTCGGCCAGATCCGCCCGGTGCTTTGACAGAATGCTTGGCTTCAACGCATATGTCGCATCCAGTATGAAGATGTCGTGGGCACCGCAAGCTAGGGGGTGAATTGGCGGTGGAGGGATCCGCGCCCTGCATGTACATAGTGCATACACGGCTACTGGGCATGAACTTTGACCTTCGGTTCTGTGGAATAGCGTCGTCAATAATAATACTTTTGATTTCAGAATTGGGAACTCACACGAGACTGTACCATTTGTGGTGCTTGCATTGGAGAGAGAGGTGCACGAAAGTCACTCATGGGAATAAGAGATGTCTGAGAAAGTGCTGCAGCTGATACCTGCGAAAGCAAGACGACTGATGGGGGAAGGCTACCAGTAGTTCCTTGCCCAGAGGACGTGCTACTGCCCGTCCCAGATACTGGCGATGCCTTCTGCATTGCAGGAGAGCTTCCTGGACTTCGACCATTTGAAGACGCTTGATCTGAATTATTGGAAACAATGATTGGTGGAGGATGGTGATGATGTCGGTATGCAGGGGGAGGGGCTTGACGCGCAAATAAGTCATTGATGACAGTCCCCAACGCTAACCGTAAACGAACACCATTCGGAAGAGTGTGCGGGTGATTGGATGTTGCACGATGAGGTGACTGTTGTGATCCTGGACGCTGTGGGGATGTAGGTGGTGTATGGAGATCGTCATCGAGGATTGGGTGCACAGGGGGAGGCTGGTCGAGCATTGACGTGACGACCTTCTCGAGACCAATAGCACGGAGTCTTAGAGTCCTTGCGAGGGTCAAGTCCTGTCTCTGCCGACGATTGTCCTCATCCTCGTTATGAGGATGATTTGGACCACCCTCTCTGGCTTTGAGCATTTCAACATTTTCACCGTCACTTGACACTTCATCTTCTTCCTCGTATGACTCCGGGCGTTCACGGTAACGATAATTAGGCGAAGAAGAGCCTCCTGTTCGGTCGGTCATTCCGAGCTCAGCACGGGCCTGGGTAAATCGGGTTCGGCCATGAACCCATAACATATGATCTATTATGAGAGTTCGGGTAGATTTCTCCCTAGGAGGGATAGAGTGCAGATGATGTGCATGTTTATGAGCTGGAGCCTTGAAAGCTCGTAGACCGTTTGTTGGGTTTGAAGATGATGAAGATGATGCAAAGATGGGAGGCTGATATGAGACTGTTGTCCTTGGAGGTTGTGGTATACTGAATGACGAGAAGTGCCCTTGATTCAAAATTGCGGATGTTGAAGCGCTCAAGGATGAATAGGATGTCATGTCATGGATCGTGTCACTGTATATGCTGCAGGGAGTATTTTGATCCTATGTCGGCCGTTGTTCTTCTCTATAATCCCGAATAACGTTCGTCAGACTTGGTTTGTCTTCGTGAGGAATCGGAACACCCCGGTATCAGTGAATGATCACTTCAATTTTCTTGTTACACACACTTTCAATACCCCAATATCTGACAGCGTGGAAGGCGCAGCCTGCGGTCGTCAACTTCGTGGCTGAATAACTGGCACGATTGAATTTGACTTGCATTGAACGTTATTATTATTAGTGCACTGTTCACTGCCCTGGTTAAATCAGCTCAGCGACTGAGGCATATCGCAACTTGAAATACCATTGGAGGTGAGTTCAACTACAGACACGGCTCCCGAGTGACTCATTATCATTAGAACTCGGGCCCCTTCAACTGACCGAATCGAGTTATTTCAGTCACGGTGCAGACGGAGCATAACTTCAAGTCCCCGTCATTGACATGGACACATCCGCCGGAGATCTCGGTATCGCATTGGTGCAAGTTGCCGTCTCCGTGAAGTTGGGCGTATCAAGTAACTCGAGCTCGCAAAAGCCATACTATCTCATTCAACCCACCAATCGGCCAAACACAAAGTCATCTCTCTTGTCAGCCATCCAAATACTGTGCTTGATCAAACGCCGCCGCTACTTCAGATCTCGCAACTAGTCCCTCATTGGTAGATCATGGTTATGTTGCATGTGGTTGCACATATCGAGTACGGAGAATGTGCGTTTTAGGCTATCATGTACTAATTTATCTCAGGCCAGTGCGCCCAACCTTTCTGGAACACAGGCTCCGCGGTCTACAAGGAGTCAGCATACGTTACCAAACTGCAGGGTTGGCAGTCTGCAATGAGTCAACATAAGCCATCAGACTGCAGGGTCGGCGGTCTGAAAAATGTCAATATAAGTTTGCTTGACATCGTCGAATATCCAGGCCCAGGTCAGAGTTCAGTCTACTCCTCATCATTTTTCTGATGAGACTGATTTTAGTTCCGGTTAAGTTATTCAAGCTATCCGAGCACCTTCCCAACCCGAATATGAACATTAATAGTTCATATCTCATTCGCGGCCTAGCTAGACGGCCAGGTAGGGGTTCGGGTACCTTTGCTTTCATGAGGATTAGCTCGAAGGCGCTACGATCCGCAGTGTCATGGTGTTGTATCAAGATCTTATCTGATCGGTCTCCAACTTCAAACCGTTCGATAAGTAGGTGTCTTCCGAGGTCAGGGCCACAGCGGTCAAGATTGTCCATTGTGCACGTCAAGTCAATGCGTCGAGAATGCGGCCTTCGAACTTATTGTCAATATTACCCCAGTGTCAGCACAATGGCGAGAACATGCCGTTGCGACTTCAGTAACAGACATCATTTACATAACGATAAAAATCCTTTGAAAACCATTGGGCGCATGTAGTTTTTCGCCACACATTAGCGCCGAATAGCCCACCAAGCTCTATGTGCTAGTCAATCTCGACGTCACCACTTGACACCCGTCACTCGTCGCAGGAGATCAATCGATCACCTTTAAGACCGATGTCGCCTATACATCGTCGCGGGAGCCTCAGGGGTACACTAGCCTCATGTCGGATCTCCGAGTCTTCCCTCTGGAGAAAACAAGGTGGTCCATATCCAATTCTCAGGGGGCAGTTTGACAGTCAGTCTGATTCTGTGAACTGTCAATGACTAATTTTAACTCCGATATTCCAGGACAAGATGCCCAAGCTCAATCGCGGAGGCACTCAGGGGTATTTCAACTCAAGCTTTCTCATGTCGTATCTCTTCCCCAATGATATTCGTCGGGTTTGAAATCCCTTTCGTCATCAGACTTGATCCTGGAAAAATTTATACCGAGGTCGATTATACTGCGCTGTGCCTCCTACAATGTCTGACTAGGCTAGTCGGTGACTAGTTGACTACTGATCTCAGTTCGGCAGCATTTAGCTCCGTCATGGCTGCGGCAGAATGCCGCCATCTCCTGTGCCCGGAGAATCTCCAAAGCGCTCGGATCACCCGCCAACCATAACAGAAGAGCACCCGAATTTCGAAAGGGATCGTCGCGTGCAATACTATCAAAATGTCAAAAACGTAAGTACCCTGGATGTCATAACACCTCAGTAGATTGGTTCCACAGCGCGCCCGTAGCGCTCAGTAGCTATCGCGCTGACATTTCTGTCCCATAGGACGCTACTACAACAAATACTGCGGCACCGCCAGCCTAAGCGTTTCAAGTAACCGTGATCTTGTCGATCTCGGACCTTGACTCTGTGCGTTCATAAGCTGTAGGCTATGATCAACGATACCAGCGCATGTCACATTATTAGCGCAGCTACGGTAGTCAATTAATTATGTATAATCGTCGACGCTCCTACTCGGTTTGTTTACCTATAGCCAATATCTTAATTGTGACGTACGATACATATGTGGGGCTCGACATAGCCTTGTGATCATGTTCTCGCAAGTCGCCGCGGTCTTTATGCTGCGACGCCCGCGATGGTCAAATATCCAAGTAAATTCCCAGTAAAGTGACAAAGTAGTGATGTAGGCCAGCAACGCCACACGGATCGCGATTGTGCCTCGAAACAATGTTATCCGCCCAGACATGGGCTGTGTAAACTAGTACGCTATTTCGAAATTCTCCGTGTTGCGGAACGAGTCAACGGCGCTCACACACACAGGTATGATCCAAGATGGCGTGTTTTCCATCTTGCGAAGAAGGAGGAAGTTCGTTTAGTCAAGTAGCGTCTTCGTCGGGGCAGTGTAAAAGCCGAGGGTATCCCGGGTGGTTCGTTTTGAACTTTGAACTTTGCCAGGCTGTTTGATCGGACGAGGCAGTGCTCATGATTAGCGCTAGTCAACTTGGGTAAGTAGGCGTGTACAGCCCCGCATCTGTCTTGTCAACTAAAATGAAAAAATTCTGAAGTTCGTGCTCGATGGAATTATAGTTCCGGTCACACAGCATCATCGCCATAATGAAGAGCTCGAACGAGATTGATCATTGAAATTTTTAGTTCCATTGTATAAATATACGACATGATGATCAGACCGACAACCGCCGTATCTAGGATGACTACGCTACAAGGATGAGGATCACGGGGGCAAATAATAAAGGTAGAGCGGGGGCAGGCAAGACTACAATGATACTTAGGTACGATGACTAGCATACGAAAGGTGCATCAATAACATCATAAATGACAAGACGAAAAAGCGAAAAGGGTAGTATAGCAAAATCTTTGGTCAAGCGAGAATCCGCAGGAGCGTCCCAGGAATATGGTAAGCAGTCTTGGTGTTGAAATGTATGAGATGTAGATTAGACATATCAAGTCAGTTATTAGAGGGGCTGCCGCGTATCGAGAAGGCGAGGATCGAAGAGCATTATACCATGACACTCATGCTGGTCCACCCATTTTCCTCCGTCTTGGGTACAGGGCCATGATCACTCTCTTGCTTTGCAGCATCGAGAATTCGTTGACAGTCAGCACCGCCCTCAGAACGCACTAAAGGAAATTCCGTAAGCAACGTATTATGCATGAAGAAGACACAGCACTTACAATGTCTGTTCAGGGCATCCATTCGTGCAAAGGTCTTATTACAGCCATCGCACGTGAACGGGCGATAATTCGAATGAAGCTGTTCGTGTCGCTTGCAATCGTGCTGCCTTGCGAACCCTTTGCCGCATCCCGGCCATTTGCACTGGAATGGCCGTTCTTCATTGTGTGAACGCATATGACCTTAAATAGATACGTCAATATCACTTGCATGAGCCGATATTAAATTTAATTACCTTTCAGATTGAAACTCCTCGTAAACGTGCTGCCACACCCAGGCACTGGGCACAGGAAGTTGGCATCCTGCTTGCGGCGCCGGTGACTGGCCCCAGCCGTGCGCTCACTGGTCACAGTTTGCTTTGTGACAGAGATCTGGCTCGCCATGGGTTGGGCAGGGTCTGGACGAAGCATAGATGGACGTCCAGCCAGGGAGACATTGGGTAGATCGTCATATCGTACACGCGGGCTGGCTGATGGACTGGGATATGGGCTTGGGCGGTTGGATGATAGTCCACTCCAGCTGCCGTCGCCCCCACCCCGTGAGCCCGAGGATGCCCGACGGTTGTGCATGCGAATGGATTGCACGGTCTCTTGTGGGTAGAGATACTGACGGTTTATGAGATCCGTGTGGGATGAGGGAGGGAAGAGGAGGGGAGACGAATGGGAGATGTCTTCAGAACGTGAGAGGCGGTTGTGGGTTGGGCGCGAGCCGCTGTCAGATTTGGACCTGCGCAGCGCTATGGCATCGGGAGTGAGATAGTTCATGTTGGATGGAGTGTTGGGACTCCCAAAGTTGAACTGCTGGGTATGAGAAGAGTTGTTGAACGATGCCTGGTTAGCACTGGCGTTGGAGGGATGCTGCGATTGATGTTGGTGCTGCGGAAGGACGTCGCTGAGGTTGACGGTGCCGTTGTCGTCGATAGCAGAACTGTTAAGAGCTCTGAGTTGTTCGTGGGTCATGAGAGAAGAATCCCAGAATGTTGGACGTAAAGAAGATGAAGTGTCGGATTTACTACGAATGCGGGGGTTGGTACCCGGGAACAAGAAGCTGGTATTTGTAGGATCAGGATGGGGACCGAGACTGGACAGCCCCTGTGTATGAGAAGAGTGGCTGTGCGGGTATTGCTGTGTTCCCTGTTGTGACACCCCGAGTAATTGAGATCCCTCGGTATGCTGAATTTGTTGCTGATCCCAAGGGGGGGTCGCAGCCTGTTGCTGTGGCGCATTTTGCGTTGATCCTGTACGGACGTAAGACGCAAACAAAAATATAAAAGGCAAATTATGAATTCCCGAAATAAACAAGAACCATCACGGAGTCAACTTGCCTTGATGGAGTGTTTTCAGGGTAGATTGAAAAGGGACTGCTTGTGAAGCCGCTCCCCCGCCACTTATGGGGGTAGCAGGAACAATGTGCAATTGAGGGCCGCTGGAGGTAAAACCACCATCACCGTCCGGAGCGTTGATCATTGGAGGATCCTGAGGGAATAATGAACGGGTGGCTGGACTGCTATCAGGAATCAAAAGTTGAGGGGGAGACTGGGGTTTTCTTGGGGGAGACATTGGACGATCGCCGGGAAGATTATGAAGCTGCCAATGGGGGGATTCAAAATGAAGATTTTCGAATGAATGGGCCATATCGAGACGTGGAGACGACGTGGGAATTTGAGGGTTGGAAGATACTGAAGAAGCACGACTGCGCGGTTCATCCCCTCCTCCGTTGCTAGATGGAGAACTATGATCGAAAGCATTTGGAGGACGGTTATCGAAAGGAGCGCGAGATACGGATAGTGAATTGTGATCAACTTCAGGGATGTATTCGCTTTGAAACATGAGCAAACCAGAGGAGTTTGGTGGATCATACTCGGAGGGGTCATATTCGTCGCGAGAAGCTACATTGTTTGCATCTCTGTCAAAGAGACCACCAAAAGCCTCTGGACCATCTGGATCATAACTGAGTTCTGAATGACCAGAGTAGGGAGAGTTTTGGTAGGATCCATTGTATGAGGGAGTATGGGGGAATGGAGGAGATAGATGACCGAACTCGTAAGATTCAAAAGGCGAATTTGCTGCTAGGTTCAAAGGCTTGTTTGAGGGACTGTTAGAGCGGTAATCGAGGTCGTTGAGATATGGGTTTGACTCTGAACGAAGTAGCGCCATCTGTGGTTAATGGTGTGGTGGTAGGGGATAATTGAAGTAGAGAAGAGTGATAGATCGGGGTAACCGATTTGCTGTGCAGTAAAGACGCTGACTGTTTGTTTAAAGAGACAGCAAAATATAATAACAAGATGAAGAAGGGATGAGGATAGGAATAAGAAAGATATTGACGCTTGTCAGAGGGGGAAGGTAGAGGTTTTGTGAGAATTCCAATAGATTTATTATTGGCATCAATAGTGCCTGGTCTTTTTAACCTCCGCAATACATGTATATTCGGCCGGAGTAGTTATCCATAAATGGACAATCTGTTGCCGATGGGTATGTCGGCTTCATCCTGGATCCGGCCGACGTTACCGTAATAATTTGGAATTTATTGTTTTATTTCGGCAATATCCTTGCTCAACTGAACTGATAAGCGTGACACTGAAGCCTACACCGACGAAGGCGGCCCCCCTCCATGGGCTCCTCCAGAATTCTCCATTTAATCCCCATCATGTCACAATTCATCATCAATCTTTCGACTCGGGAATTCCCGATTGGTTCATTCTGCATCTGCTTCATCAGGTTGCGTTGCCGTCGCATCTTCTCTTACCTCTCTTCGAATCTTGTTACCTATTCTCCATCTATCTCGCCAAGTCGCTCTCAAGATGCCGATCAACATCGGTAATCATTAGCTTGTCCGCGCATGATGGTGCACCCATTGCATGACCGTTTATCCTCCCCAAAAATTACCTAAATGGCATACTAGGCACATCGAGCATGTGCAACCTGACATTCATATCGTCATTGAATAAATCTTTCTTTGATGGGCTCTTTACGTATGCTGTCGACTCACGTCCCGTCAAATCCGAAACGACGGAATACCTCTTGATTTTGATATATCGCGGTATTCATACCAAAATCAAAGTCAATCAGTCATCCATTCCCAACCCCTTGAACCTACTACTAAATTAGGGGCACCCGGTAGGCCTGGAACTTCGTTGGACTTTGGCGAAATTTTGATAGCTGACAATGCA